TCTGTGCCCTCTTTCTGTCACTCTCTTTCCTGAGTGTGTTTCAGTGATTGCGAGTTCACTCCTTGCCGCTCTGCCAGCTGACCCGCTGACATGCTTTTGTGCCATTGCTTGAACTTGTCTATTGCTCCGTAGCCGCCGTCCGGTATAACACGAGCGCCAAGGCACAAACCGAGTCACTACAACTAAATACCGACTGGACTTAAATGCAACGATCGACTTTTGCGGAAATGCTCACTTTGTGTTCCGGAGTGGCTGCAACGCATGCTGATGCTTATGCTGATGTAGTACGCCTTTCCGGACACTAACTTCTTACAGTGTTACAAGAAATTTACTTCAGACAAGTAATGGCGACCTAAACTTCAGCTCTTCACCCTCCTCAAAACGAGTCTTAAACCCAATCTGCTGGCACGAAATAATGAGCTCAATTTTGGGGAGAAGTAACCAAGTCTGCTCAAAATCCACAGCGACCAACCAGTGGGTTAGAAAAATAACCCAGCATTTTTGTGTGTGTGTGTGTGTGTGTGTGTGTGTGTGTGTGTGTGTGTGTGTGTGTGTGTGTATGTGCGCGCGCACGTGACAGTGGATTAATTACCATCCTAGGTGGCGAGGTCGCCACCAGTCGCGAGGAAGACTCACTGCAATTCCAGTGTTGTCCTCCCGTGAACTTCAGCGAATCAATGGGTGTGATTTAATACACAGTTCACTCCGTATGGAAACCAGCGGGTCTCGGCGTTCTTCTAATTTATACGCTATTGATCGTTTTGCGCAGATGCACAAAGAGAGAGGGGGAGCAAGGCCAGCCAGATTGTTTGTAATGTTTGGGGCAAAAATCTCCATCTCTAGGGTAATTATAAGGTGGATATACTGTTGTCTTGATACACTGCTCCAGTTAAGAGGGCTGGAAAGCATGAAGGGGGGGGGGGCGGAAGAAAGCATATCGGAGAAGGACTTGCTTGTCTCTTGTGAGCCTTGGTCTAGCCTTTGGCATAGAAAGTGAGCCTGCATATTAGTCTGTCTATCACAACACAGCAGGAGAATGGAAGGAGAAGTAATACTCTTGGCTATCAGTGGGCTCTCTCACTCTTCCCTTTTCTTCTCTCAAATGCTCTCTTTTTTTCTCTCCTCGGGCTCCACGAGACAAGAGCACTTTGTGTTGCTAATAAAACTAACTTCTAAGCATTGATATTTTTTTCCCTCCCTTTCCCATGACACGGAGTATTGACTATTGAATTTTCAGCTCTTTTTTTTTTTTTTTTTTTTAAACCCGCTCCTGATGCCAGCAGCAGTTTGGTCTTTAGAGTGCTACAAACGCCGCGAGGCAAATATTTTAGCCGGTGTGCTTTGCAATGAAATAAACAGTATCTAGCTCCGCATACGCTCGGTGGCAATCGAGCCGGCTCCCATAAATCTGAATGGCATTAACATTTAAAAACCCAAACTCCTGCCCGTCTGTGAACGGCGCTCTCAGACAGACGGGCCGCCGTTCTATTTGTCGACATGGCAGACAGGGGGAAGACATCAGCTACACAGACAGGCATAAATCTGTGAGGGTTGGTGCTGTTAAATGCCATAGCGGGTGGGTTAAGTGAATATCACCCTCTGCCTGCAAAAAATGCTCACCCTTCTATTCCCCCGCAACCTATTATATATTGTGTTTCATTTCACCTTATTTGGATGGAAAGTCATTTTACTTTCTTTTATAAGAAGGTCATAAAATATAGAGTGGATTTTTTTTTTTCAACACTCGCCACATCATTTACATTTTGTATTGTATGAATGTGATCAAAGCGACACAGGACTGAATAAAACATTCACGGCCAAAGCCATTTCTTATGTGACATTTGGTCACCCTATCTATCATCATTTTTCTATATGCGGCAGTGGAAGGGGGCAGGGGGGCTCAAATGTTTAAATTTGGCGTCGCTTCATAAAATTTAAAACCCGTTTCTACATGAACACCCGCTGGCGAGTTGATGGAAATGCTTTTTTTTTTTTTTTTTTTTTTTTTGTGCATGTGCAGATAAGAGAAAAGTCAAATGGAAATGACTGGCGGGTCCGCTGTGGCAGCGTCGAGTGTGCAGACGGGCCTGGGAAATTGAAGCTTGTCAGTAAAATTACAAAAACGCAGCTCCGCTTGAACTGGCAGACATGTAAATGTGGCAGATGAGTCCATTATGGATTGTCTTGGGCAGCCTCTTTTCATCAAAGATCCCATCAGCTTATTACAAAAAAAATAAATAAATAAAATTGAACGGCCTCGGCACTGACAAATTAATTCTTTCTTTTTTTTTTGTCCTTGCAGATGTGAATCTCTGTTGAACTCCGTGATGTCGAGCAATTCAATCGAACTGCCCCCCACCCCCACCCCCAGAAGAAAATACATGGTTCAATTTGACACTTAATTGTGATTTTTGTATCAAACATAACAGTCATAATTGTGACTAAGTGGTCTTCGGGGTGGGGGGGGTCAACTCAATAATACATCTGACAAGTTACAACCTCAAAAATACGGCGCATTCGAAACATTATTTTATCACAGAAAAATAGCGACAGTGTGGACAAACTAAGAACTGGCCGAGCTTCATTCAAAACAGATTCGGCGATCCGACAAACGAAATGAGGGCAGATCTCTGAGAATCGATATATAATTGAACGAATTGATAATTAACCATTTATACCCCCCAGAGCAGCCTTGCTGTTTCTACCCCAATCCGAGTGGCAGCGTTCTGTTGGCCCATTTCATGTTGTGTGAAGGACTCCCACAGGTGCTCATTAGTATTGTTTACTTGCGAACCCAATGGAGCCATGTTCTCTTCTAATCATAGATCTGATAACACCTTCTATGCTTTGGCACAATTTTCCCCACATACAGTGTCTGTGATCTCATGAAGAAATCTTCCACGTCCGCATTTGCACCGAGGGGAACGTGCAGTCTCTCGGTGCCCAGTTGCGGTTGACAAATAAACGGTGTTTGTAAGCAACTTGCTGCCCCGCTGATTTGACTCTAATTAAATAGTGCGACACACTTTCAACACACGGTTCAGTGTGATCGGAGCTTGTAAAAGAGATTCGAATTTTGAAAAACAGCATCAAAGCTCTCATAGAGCACTGAGATATCTCACTGAGCTCATAGAACCAGTCCACAACTTGTCCACCTATTCTCCAAAAAGAAAAATGTCAAATAAAGCTTTGAGCTAACAGGTTCCAGAGGATTCCACGCAATGCCTCAAAATAATCTCGCCACTCCTCCATCTTTAGATCTTAAAATCCATGAGACTGCTACTCAGTCCAAATTCGGACTAACTTGTCCTCACCATCTCGCTCATACTAAGCTGTGAAACTCGATATCGATTATCGCACGATCGCTTGTCACACTTGAATGAAGACAACATTGTGATATTGGCTCGCCAGCATCCATGTGACTCCCACACACACAGTAATAGACGTTCTATTGTAATATGTATTGTCGTCTCAACATACCATCGCTCTTTGTCTGACAGTGTGTTTTCTAATGTGTGAAGTCGGCTAATTTGACATATTAGCATTTTGGCTCTAAACGTAAAAAGTCAATACATGACTGAAAGTTCATTTAGCCATCGGTGTCTTCATTGACCATGAAGCCAAAAGAGATCGCCGTTGCTGCTGAGCGCAAATGTGTTTAAGCAACTAAAATAATTGGATACGGCACAAGATTAGATGCGATAAAAATCAATAGCCTGCTTAATAAGCCATGTCATAAAGTTTTACAACCTTGAGGAGGCCGATCACATTTAAACACCCCTTGTCACGACTCAAACAGAACCATACAGAGGCAAGAGTATTGGCCATTTCCCCTATTCAAGAAAAACAAAATTGTTGTGATGTATGAAAAGAATTCAAAACATTTCTGAAAAAGACCCCAGCGCAGACTATAGACAGAACACGCACACCAAAAACAACAAATATTCAAGCCATTTTTGTCCTCAAGCCAGCGCTCCCTTTCACGGCTGATTTGCATGATCTCTATCTCTATTGGCAGCTATGCGGAGTGGTAATGTGGTCTGAGACCAAAGTGCCCCAGGTTTGATTTCCCTGACTGGCATAGTGATATGAGCTGGGGGAGGGAATGTCCCTTCTCCTCTTGGATATCCACAATGTCACCGCTGAGTTGCCCTTGAGCAAGGCGTAACTTTTTCTGGGGCACTGAAAAGCTGCTCAGTGTGTCACCAATAATGCGTGGCTTCTCACTACCGATATGGGTTAAATGCAAAGATGCTAGCATTGTGACGTTTATGGGGGGGGGGGCAATTTTGGTGCTGCGCCCCTGCTAATAGGAATGTAGTGATTGGTTAAACTAGGCTGCGATTGGCTGCCAACCTGCAATCCAGGGCGCACACTGATATTCGCCCATTGCAGCCAGGATAGGTACCAGGATAGCGTCTCGTGTGTCACTTTACAAAAATTCAGATCTTAGGAAGTGGCAAAGGTAAAAAGATCAAACTGGTTTTGCTCGAAAGGTGAAACATTCAAGTGTTCTTCTGCGGTGGTCTTGTCATGCCAATTGTTACATCGCAATCAGTGTTTTTACTTTTTGCATAAAATGTGGTTTGTACTGATTTGAAACGTTATTTAGTGATGCTGCCGTTCACTGGAAAGGAGAAGTCATTTTGTGTCTTAGAGTTTAGGGTAAGAAAGAGTCGTGGACGCATGTTTAGCGCAGCTTTCGGGTAGAATTTTCAAATCCTTTGGCAAGAAATGGAAACCAGGTGCTCGAATACTGAGCATTTGTCAAACATTTAATAAACCATTCAATTCTTGGATTTTTCTGTTCAACTTTTTGCTTCAAAAACTCAACATCAATAGCTTTTAGGAAATATAGTGGGCGTTCATTTCTTCAACAGTTATAGAAATGTTACATATTTTTTGTAGCGTGAGGAAAAATCAAGTCCTTTCCAACAATTAAGTTACCCTTCCAAATATTAGATATACAGTATTTTGATCTGTTCCAAATGTCGCACATGGCACAACTGATGGCTGTTTGGCGTTTTTGTTTCGTGTTGTATAAAATCGCATTCTGTGTTCTATAATTGTCTGTCTTCTTTTTCAATAGGGAGTTATCTTTTCCGACTGCAAGTGAATGCAGCACGAAGGGAGCGCGGGATTCGCGAGCCCTCCTCCACGCTCACCCTCCCTCCCGCGCAACTGCGCGCGTGTGCCCGCCGGTGAGGGCGCGCGCACGGGAGGTGGCTGGGGGTTGTGTTCGCTTCTGCTCTCTGACCCCAGTGGCAACTCGGATTCACTACACTCTGCACCGTCGGTGGGAGGCTGCTCTCTGCGCGACTCCCTCTCCCCTCCCGCTTGTCTGTCAGCGTCTCCCGTCCGCCTCCCCCTCGCTCTCTTGTCTGGTTTCTTTGCACAGAAGCCAGCCGAGGTCCCACCGGGTCGAAGGTTCTGCCCTACCTGCACCAGACCTCTGCCAGCCCGGACCGCCGCCGTGCTCTACCGCGCCTGCTCTCCTCTGCTGCCGCATGGACCCTTGTCTCTCCGCTGCGTAGAGGGCGACCCCGACCCGACGCTCTTCCTCCGGCTTGGCACAAAAAAAACCCCGCACGAATACGGTACAGGATCCTTTCCGCTTGCCTTTGAAAGCAACGAAAGAAGGAGGAAGGGCAGAAAGGGGAGCGGAACGACACAATTTGCTGTTAGCGTTCCCAAGCCGTCGTTTTAAGGCGGCTTGTCATTTCCGCGGAGGAACAAGAGGTTAGCGTGGGGCTGCCTTGACACTGACCACCTTTGGGGGCTCTTTACCGGGGTGATTTCCAACCGGAAAGTTGGAGCCTATGCGGTTTGCCGTGCACACTACACGGACACTAAACGTGTGCGCACCGGCGTCACAGGCAAGCGGTCTGACGGAGGAGCTGCGAGGCAAGAAAAAAAATCTGATTTTGGAAAAAAAGGGATTGTCGGAAGCGGTTTAGCACGCTAGGCTAGAGGGCTAGTCGCTGCTACCGTAGCCATCGAATGAATGTGGAGAGAGTTTGAGCAGCGAGGCGCGCACACAGGCACGTGCATCGATACACACGATCAAGCACAATTGCTTGACTCGCCTTTGCAAAAAAATAAAGAAGTGCAATAGTTCTTTCTATGTGATAAAGAATGAAAAATAAGACGCGTGCATGTAATTATCTTGGAATTAATAGAAACGTTTCAAAGTCCAGCACGGCTTGATGAAGTCTCGATTTGTTCTTGCCATAATGTCATTTAAGACGTCTGATTTAAAATAGCTAAAGTGCCATTTTCAGAGGCTATTCTCGCAAATTTATTAGATACTCATGCGTCGATATGCCTGATGTTTTTACTGCAATTCCATTTTTATTAGAACGATAATTTGTACATTTTATTGGTTTTTGAAATGAAATAGTCACTGGGGGAAAAAAGCAAAACATTTGTGCCTTTTGCTGTATTTACCCGAATTGAGTTGGTCTATGCGCTTAAGTCACAGTAACTTAAATTCATAACACACATCCTTGGCTGACCCTGAATTAATGGTGTACATTAATGTTTATTGTGGACTTGTGACCAGTTTTTTTTTTTTTTTTTTTTTTTGAAATTGGCATGCAGTTTGCCGTAGCAAATTCACAAACTGCATGCAACCATGAAATCAACCCTGGAGCTGTTGATTTCCCTCCAAAAAGATGACAGACTGTAAATTGAGGGCAATTCTCTTTTTATACTTTCCCAACCCCTCTAATACTGATGTGTATGCATCAGGCAGGGGCTGTGGTATAAAACACGTGTCAAAGCCCGAAGTGGGCACTTTACGACCAGTCCGGGAGGTCAGACAGGAGGGAGGCTCAGGGTCCAAGCAGACACAACTGTCGCAGTGAGTGAGTGCCGAAGATGCACGGACACGCTTCTTTTAGCTGCTTTTCTTCATGCACGTTAATAATTGATTTTGGCTTCTTTAAAAGCAGTTACAGTTATGCAAGACGATTTGAGAGGTCCTCACATGGGATTCAATGCAACGGGATAATTTTAGAAGCAAGGGAAAACAAACGTTTTATTTTTGTGTATCTCGTGCAAAATCAGCTGCTCCGTGTGGTTGTTTCTTGATTTAGTTTTTTTTATTTTTTATTTTTCTTCATGAAAAGGTTTTGCGTCCGCTCGACCAGGTGCACTTTCTCCATGTTTCTTTCATGTCAACAGGCGGAATCCTGAATATGAGACATCCTTATATCTCCATCCTTTACTTCAAAAACAGCCCAGTTATTGGCTGTCTGATTTTTTAAAAAAAGTGTTTTTATTGTTTTTGTTTAGTTTGAAAGTGTGTTAGTTACACGTGCATTCGGACTGTCTGTTAATGTACTGTAACACGTGCATTGGGGGGGAGATCTGTGAGTCTGAAAAAATAATGTGCTCGTTTGAGTTTTGCCGGCCTGTGACATGTCGCTAAAGTCTCTTCTTTTCTTCGCGCAGCCGGCAGAGTGCTGGGTGGGTGAGTCGGGCGTTTGCTGTCGTTGCTGCTGCTGCTGCGGGTGACTTCCTGGGCTTTTTCTGAGCCGCTCCAAAGGATGTCCGCTGCACGCATCGCTGCTGAATCCCGGTGAACGAACGGCGTCTCATGTCCACACGTCGGAAGGATGGCTCATGGCAAAGTGACCATCACGGTGGATGAGTACAGCTCCAACCCGACACAGGCCTTCACGCATTACAACATCAATCAGAGCCGCTTCCAACCGCCACACGTCCACATGTAAGTGCAAGCGTGACACGCGCACACGTTTCCTGCGTTCTGACACACCTGTCAGGAGCTTGAAGACAAATGAGTCATGTTTACGTTAGCCCATGTTTGGAAAACAAATGCAAACACTGAAAGGCACGCTAGCTTTGATCGAAATAAAATACATTTTGAAAAATGTCTATTTTATAGAATAACTGCGGTCTGCTGCAATCATTTTAGTGACTATGGCAACTGCTTCCAGTTTTAAAAGTTTGTCTAAATTAAGATGCGAAGAGAAGCAGTAGGCCACAGTTGATCAAAATGTTGGACTGGTTAAATCTTGATTCTTTTTTTTTTTTTTTAATTTTTCCTGTTTTAACCCAAAATGTATTTATTTCGATAAAATTAAGTTGCAATTGATGTTCAATAGTATATTGCTTGCATATTATTTATTTATTTTATTGTATTTTATTTTTACAAAAGTGCTTGACATTGAGTTGAAATTAAAATGATTGGATCGCAGAGCACGTAAGACATTAGTGGGTGGTATCGCAGCATGATCACCATGTTCAGATTGTAGCATTAAAAAGAGGCCTTTCTGCTTCGCGTTGGCAGTGTTCACAAACTGCTCCCACCGTATTGTTTTTGGAATTCCCGTGAGCTGCGAGAAAGGCTGGCGGCACAGCGAGCGTTGGTCTCGCCGATGTGGGAAAAGGAGACAAGGTCACCTCGCAGTTTATGTTATGTCAGTTCATTTTAATGGCTGGCACAGGCGGCCATAAATCAGGCCAAATACCTCAATTTGAATTAAGGATAACCGTGCCGGACAACGCGGGACACATTCTGGTGGGATGTCTGAGCTGGCTCACACAATTTATCTCCCTGGAGATTTCACTTTCATACCTGTGTGATTCAAACGGACAGGTTTTGTCGCAGTTTTCTTTATGGTGTCGTGGCGTGTTTCATCTCAGCCTTTTAAATGGCGGCGTTGCACCAATTGAGCGTGCGTTTGACTCGACGCATCGAAAAAGCGCTATGGCGCAGAGGAAAGACCTGAATGAAAGCAAAAGTGTGGAGAACGTTTCCTTTGCGGATGGGAGGAAACGCAATTGATTCGTCGTGTCCAGCGTCCGTCTTTAATTACGTCGGCGCGGCTCAATGTTTTTGGAAATGTGTCTCAAACGCGAGTGGCGTTTCGATTACATTACATGTTTATTGCCGTTTCTCTGCTTTATTTTGTGAAGGCGAAACGTACCGTTGGAAAGGGATGTGATGAGGCGAGGGGGGCCTCTCTCTCTGTAGATATGTGTTTGGATAAATGCATTAGGCTGTTTCCTGGCTTCCACAGAGCCAGCAGTGTTTTACACTGTCATTCTCAAACTCAGACTGGGAAACTCAGGATCACGTGCGCGCACACACACACATGCACAGTTAGAGCCCAGCACCCCCCCGCCCCCCAGCATAATTAAATGCTTATAGAATACACACTCTGCCCTGTAAACGTAAAGACTTGTTTATATTTCAGAGATAACGTTCGGACTTGCACGAGGTTTCTCTCTCGGTGCATCCAAAGTATTTGTGGATAAAGTTGTGGCCAAAGGAGAAAAAGGAGGGAGAACAAAAACTCAAGCGAGTCGGTTGCTTCTCTTTTGAAATCCAATCTCCTCTTATGCCCCCCCCCCTCCCTTACCTAGAGGGAGTATTTAGATTATGTGATGGAGTACAGCAGTGCCTTTTGTCCAATGCCGAAGGTATCGCTCTATGAACTACATACGAGAACTTGAACGTCGCAGCGGCAATAACGCTTTGTAATGTGACCCCGAAGTCCATGGTCATGCCTGGCATCGTGGGACGTCTGCCTGTGTCTGGAAGTGAGCGGCAGACTGAGTCCAGGTCTGGTTTATTTTTCTGTGCGGACCCGCTGTGTGTGTGTGTGTGTGTGTGTGTGTGTGTGTGTGTGTGTGTGTGTGTGTGTGCGCGCGCGCACGTGTGTTTTTTCGTCCTGCTTCAGCCCCCTCGCCATCGTCTCGTGAAATGAAATGCTCAACAACTTGGAACATATGCTTCGAGTTGGGACACTAATGGCTTCCAATCCAATTTGAGTAGAATGTGGGCCAGACTGCAAGCCCAAAATATAAACAGACACAAAGCGGGAAAAAAAAAACCCCAAAAAGCAAAGGACTTGATGTGTCACAATAAAATAGCAAAGAAAGACATCAAGTCTGATTGTCTTTTTTTCCCCCACATCTTTAGAATTAAGATTGAATAAAGTTACGTCTTGTCAATTGTTGACCAGGTTAGCATGTTCGCCGTGAATCAACACGATGACGGCCAATTGGCAAAGCCTGACCTCAACTTGTGGTGGTTGCGACATCTGGTGAGACCCAGTACACAGCCTGTCATTACAATCCTTTCATTGAAGAAGATATTGCGTATAAATTCTTTTTTTAAACAGTGTCAACATGCTTTCCACAAAATACCCCCACCCCAATATTTAAGCTTTCGGCAATGTCGCTGTTTTGTGGGGGGGGGGGCGGTCCCGTCTCGTGAAAACGAGTCACAGCTCCTCTTGGATTGCTGCGCCCGGGTTTTTCGTTACCATGGTGACTGAGGCTAATGCTGGGAGTTGGAACGGGGCTAGCGGCTTCTACTCCAGAAGCAAAGTGTCAAGTCAATAAAAGCAGTCAATCTCCGCTTACCTTTAGACTTTTCCGGAATATTTTAGAACTTGTAATCCGCGCGAGGTTCGACTTAGTTGTTCAATTTCCCACGCGACGGTTGGACCGGCTCAACGGAGACCCAACTATTTATTTGCCAGCAATGAAACTGCCACATTTCCTTAATGCATCTCCTTTAATGGCTCTGTCGCAGTGGCAAAACTGCCCTTGTAAAACCAGAATTTCGCACACGGCTTTTATCTTCGATCATGCGGCTGGATCTAATTTTGTGACCACTTTACATGAAGGTCTCCCAGGTACCACAATGGCCAGGCATGTTCTTGACCCAGTTAGACAGTTCATTTTCGGATTTGCCTGGGAGAATGACGTGCTCTGTGATTGTTCCACCAGTGGACGATCTCACTCTCGCCTCGCTCGCTTTGTGATTATCGAAAGACCAGGGTACGGAAAAAGACAAAAAAAAATCGAAAGGCAAAAAGTGGCAACGCGGTTTCGCCGCAAGCGATTAGGAAGACAATTATTTGTGCTCTTTGAGACAAAGTAACAGACACAGCAGAAATCTTGGGAGGCAGCGATGCATCCCGCTGATTGATTCAATCAGCCAATCTGTGCCTCACTCGTATCAGAACAATCCCAACACGAGTTTATCAGCCCTGGTCAGCTTGTTAAAATATCGGCACGTCAACCGACATCCTAACATGCATTCTATACCACCATGCAGGGCCAGATTCCTTCCTCACTCTTGTATCATCCAGGCAATGCGCCGGTAGGACAGATTTGATCCACTTTAACATTTCTTTGTTTCTAATACTGGAACGCGACTTTGTCGTTTATTTATTTATCCCCCCCCCCCCCCCCCCACACCCCACCACAACATCAAT